AGGCTCATAAATTTACCATACAGTTCACTGGACTGGGCCAGAGCACAGTCAACAGTGTTTCAAGCCACAGTGACCCCACAACTCACCACTGCTTAGTATGTGTGTGTAATCCAGTTACCTCCTCCCCTCTACACGAAGGATCCATGTGCTAATCAGACCCTCACTCATGACTGGAATCAGGCGTTATTGTCACAAGTCCTGGGATCCTCCAAAAATTTGTATGTAGATGAGGCACAAGACAACATGGTCCAGTTCTACCTCATGAAAGACGGCGACACACTAATCATATGCAACTGGCTGAAAGAAGGAGCAAGAGGGCTTCTGGCTGAACTGTTTGGGGCCCCATTTGGTAATGTTCACCAGACATTTAAGCCTCGTGAAGAAACAGGAATCACTGGAAATGGGAATGAGAGGTACAGCTCAGCTGTGGGAATGAAGAGGAAGTTTAAATGTATTCAATCTAGTGGCTCACCATGACTTTAAAGAGTTGGCACTGAGGGGGACTGAGCACAATAGGCACTACCATGTATCTTAATTTTATTCAGATGGGCCACACTAGCCTATCTTTGTGGTAGGTTCCCATCAGTATGTTTGCTCAATATGGGCCATGTGATTTATAGTCGTGTTCAGTGTTGGCTACATTTAAATCAGCATCACCGTTGGTTTTTATTACTGAGCACATGGTGGTTTTGGCATCAGTTTAATGACAGGCAGTGTATTTAATGAGGTTTCCTTGTACACAAATATAAGGGAAGAGCCCTTGCCTTCCCCCAGTCCCAACTGGGGGGGGAAAACTGAGAAATTCAGATATAACTCAGGACTTGCAGGAAACCTGGGTTCAGTACTTGATTCAGAGTAACAGAGACTTAAGCTCACAGGACTGAAGAGCCACATTCCTTACATAGCACCTTCAATCGTATAGCTTGCATACACACACATTTAGAAGTCCTGAGAAAGCTAACAACACTTTATTTAGTGTACAAATATTTACAATCTAGTGTTATTCTGAAATCCTATTTTAACATATGGGGCAAGGAGGAGGAAGGTCACTGCCTCCTCTCCCCATTTCCCAGGAGCATTAAACAACTGTTGCACTGATTCACTTGTATTTTAAACAAAACTGGTTCACACAGTTGTACACTAAAAGCAACTTATTTGGATATTTAAACTTGAATCTTACTCGATTAGAAAGATTTTTATGTACAACTCTATATAATCACAATAAAAAACTCTTTCCATCATCCAAAAAATAATTTACAGCAAAACAATTCCAAGATTGAAAAAAAAAAAAAAAAAAAAAAAAATCCCCACACCCCCAACATTAACCCACAAGAAGAAGAGAGAGAGAGAGAACTGTTTCTATTGCTGCTATTCTTGTTTTTTATCCTCTCCTGAGGGAAATTGATCTATTGCTGCTGTTCTTGTTTTTTATCCTCTCCTGAGGGAAATTAATCAATCTATACAGCAGCCTTCACAGATTTTAGAGCAGAGCACCAGCAAGTGCTTTTTGGATAGATGGCTGTGAACACAAAGAGCTTTCTTCTCTTTCCAGTTCAAGGTCATTATAAACTATTATGAACAGGAGTTGAAAAATAAGATCACCCAAAGTAAAAAGAGATTTTTGCATGGCCAATTGGGCTGTCTGAGCCCAGAAAACTAAAATGCCTCCTCTGGAAGAGAAGTTGAGCAGACATGAGCAGAACAGTCCAGGTGTTCAAAGTTCTCTCTCTGGAGGGACTAGAAAAACAGAACAAATGACACCAGTATTTTTTAAGTTATGATATAAATAGGGAGACAGGAACCAATGAAGGCCTGGGGATTGGAAGAGAAGGCTCAAAAGGAACAGGAATGTGTATTACTGCTCCTTGAAGAGGAAGGGAATAGGGACAAAGGACCACTGGCTTACTGCTCAACTACAAGACTCTTTCCTATAAGAGCCAAGCACATCAGTTTATAGTGCTGAGGTTAAAAATCATGACAAAGCTTACTCTAAAGTGAAAAAAGGACCACCACCCAAGAAAAGGAACTACCTTTGCCTTGTTTGTTACACCAGCTCCCAAAGGCACTTTCAGGATATGTCTACACATGCACTCCAATATGCATTAGCCTATTTTAATACGCATCAACTAACTAGCACGTTTTTCAGTGACATTTTAATGTGCATTAAAATAGGCTAACATCCATTGAGCATCACTTAAAAATCCATGTTCTCTAGTTAATAAGCATTAAAATATGTTAATGCACAGTTTCCTAGCACCTCACAATGTGGGTACTAGATTTAATGTGCATTAACGTACATGTAGATGCACCCTTAGATATCCTTATTATGAGTGCTACATGAGAATTTAAGTAGAACAGCATAACAACCTGGGAAAGCAGCAGAAACAAGGACAGCAGCAGCAAAGGAATCCTGGAAAGAAGAAGAATTGAGGACAGCATTAAAGTTAACTTATTAAAAGCTAGAGCTAACCTACAGAATCATAAATATGCACCCCTGGAAGGGACCTTAAGAGGCCATCTATTCCATCTAAGGCAGGTTTCAACTATACTATTAAGACCATCCACCGAGATAGAGGTTGTTTCAGTTGGTCTATTCTACCCCTTCCCAAAAAGGAGATTATTCCAATACTTCACTACCCTTACTATAATAAAAAAAAAAAAAAAAAAAAAGACATTGTCCAGGGAAAAATGCAATTTGCTCCTATTTTTGTCCCAGAACAGAAATATACTGGGATTGGCGTTTACACACATGACTCTTCCTATCAGAATTTAGTGAGCAGACCAATACACTGCCATTTTTCTGCCACTGATTCAGTGATACAATCCCAGGACAACCATTCAGGAGCATTTAGTGTTGTCCCAGGTTAAACTGTTAGTACTTATCCTGTGAAACTTTTTAACAATTTATAAAATGGGGGACAAAGAACATGAACATCTGAATGATGCAAGAAAAGCAACCAACTCCACCATTTTGCAAGTGCTAAGCATCAGCAGAGCGTGTATACCATGTACAACAGCTGGCAACAACAGCACCACAAGTTCAGAAACATTTTACATGGGGACAAAGAATAATATGCAGCCAAAGATGATTTGGACTATAAGCCTAAAAGCAAGTAGCACATATATTAATTTTAAATTGCACGCAAACACAAATCAATACAGTGCCAGAGACACCAATATCAACCCTGGAAAAAAGCCCCAGGCACCCAATAAAACTCCTCACTTTAAATAATTACTTATCATCAACTAAAGAATTAGATGAACTTAATGTATGGATTAATTAAGTGGGCTAGATGCAATTTGCTGTAGTGGCAAGGAAAAATATATCCCCCTTTTTTTTTTTTTTTTTTGTTAGAAATTACATTGTGTCCTTGGTCTCTTCCAAGAGAGAGCACTTATTGAATGGACAGGGGAAAAATGCCTTCAGGAAACAGAGCAATGCTCAGAAGAAAATAATAGAGCTTGAGAATAAAAAACAATAGAGCTGATGGGGCCAAAGGGGGAACCGACTTGGAGGTGTTATAAGGGCTGTCTGTAAGATGGCCAGGGTATTTGGATTTTTCATAGGCTACAGAAGGATCCAAGTAGCCAGGAAAAGGATCCAAGTAGCCAGGACTGACAGAATCAGCAGGGAGGCTGATTAATGGAGATATTGGCAGGACTTCCCACTGGCTACCACCTAGCCCCCTGACAGCATAAGAAACTTTTCTTTTTGTTCCATCTTAAAACACTATGGTCAGTTTATCTCATACGATTCTTTTCTCCTATATAAACAAATCCTTTTGATGTCTGTCTCTTTACTGAGTGCTTGTGGTGAAGAGTCATTTCTGGACGAGTGATATTCCAGGAAAACCCATTCTATGGGGAGGGGGGTCTAAAAATTTATTTCACAACCCAAAGAGAAGCCACCTAGAGCTGACAGAGATTCCCCTGCTGCAGCTGTGAAGTCCTGTATAACAGCAGGGAAGGCGAGGCCATGGAGATATGCAGTTATCCCAGGCCAAACCTTAGTCTGTTTGTTGAGACAAGCAGCAGGACAGCAAGGAGAAACTCTGGGCTCTAGGGGTACCCCCTAGGGACAGGTTGCGACAGAGACAAAATTAAGTTATCCACAGATGCTTCCACAAAGGGTATTGATACAACCAGAAGTAATGGATTTACAGCTGCTAACAACAGTATGCTGATGCTTTTGGGGAAAACCATGCATAAAGATTTTAGCTGAAAAGTCATTCCCCTACCCCACCCCCTGCAAAAAAAAGCCTCGCATACATACAGCCAGCCTGTGTATCTTTACATGGCACTGCATTATGCAGGACAGATGTACCCTAATTTGCACCAATTAGGACATCTAGACATGCTAGATTTCTGAAGTTTTATCCTTTTTGACAGCAGTGGTGACATGTAGGGGGTGCACAGGGGTACATGTGAACCCCCTGAGGGGCTGGTGCACTCCCTGACAGGCTGCACTCCTCACTTAGGCGATGGGCAGGTGGGAGCGCCGGTGCCCCCCCTTTGAGTGCTGGCCAGGGTGTGGGAGCGCCGGATGAAGCGTCACAGCCACTTCCCCATCGGTGAGTTTTGCCACGGGGGGACCACCCCCCTGGGTCACTGACTGGTTGCTGGGGGGAACATGTGCCCCCCCAACTAAGGTGGCACCAGTCACCCATGTTTGACATCATACCTGGATAGTATTATAGGAATCTACATCAAATAAACAAGTTTAAAACCTTGATTTTAGTCAACTAATTAAAAGAAAAAAATTAAATGATACTCTATTTGTAGAGGTTTTATTTCAAAGTAAACATATATACACTATCTGCAGCTGTATATCCAGATTATCATACTATAATTAAAAAAATGAGGACTGTTATATTTAAACTTAAAAAAAAAAAACAAAAAAAAACAAACAAACCTTACCCTAGAAAGTGCATGTCTAAAAACACAGAAAGAAAGAATGCATACACCTAAAAAACAATAGGGGACACCAAAGCAGCTCTTACCTCTCTGACTTCATGGATTTGACCAGACTGCTGGTTCTTGGCTCTTCGGGCTGCTGCCGGAGATTTGTGATGTGTAATGGTGACAACCGTAGGCCCACTTTGACTCAGGTGTTTTTGACTGCTAGGAGATGCAGAATTAGTTGTTCCATGAGGAAGCAAAGAGAAGCTTCTGTTTCGTGAGGAATTACTCTAGAACAAACAGGATAATTCATTTTAATACACACACAAACATCATATGCAATTTAATGTAGTACTTAAAAATAAAGAGT